ATTATATGTTTTCTTGTATAAATCATGTCCTGGAAAACGGAATGTCTTTATTTAAAATAAAAACTCTACCATCCAGCACCGTAAAGGTAGTTCCATGAAAAACATTTTAAACTTATTTTATATTTGTAGTTTTAAAACATGTTTTTATGCTTCATATTACAGGTTTACTAGGTCTCATTTTATACATTCTTCTAGATTTTCTTTAAAAAAACAATCTAAGGAAATTTTCCATTCTCAACTCATGGAAGACTTTTTCAAAAAGCAGTCACCAAACCTTCCTAAAAGAAAAAAAATCAGTTATGGAGGCCTTTAAGAAACAGTTATAAACTAGCAGACAGACCAAAAAGATTTTCCCAATGCTAGAATCTAAACTTGTATGGCTTATGAAAACTTATTTTTCTTTGTGTACCACAAAATTCACCACCCTTTTGAATAACAGTTATCAAAACAAAAACTATTCTGTACTTTCAATTTTATCCCATCATTTTCTTTCTTTTTTTTTCTTTTTTTAAGATTTTATTGGGGAATTAGGGGAGGGAAACAGACAAGTTGCTGTCGTTTTGTTCTTCAGTCTAGTTGTGGAGGACGTCGCTTCACTGGCCTATGTTTATCCCATCATTTTCATTTAAGCAGGAATTTACCTCAAAGGATGATGGTACAAAACTAAGTTTAAGAAGAAAACTGACAAATATGGCCATAAATATACCAAGATAACACATCTTTTAATGGTTCAGCTGTAGTCTAGGTTTCCATAGGTGTGTATTTTCTCATGAAAGGTAATTTCATAGAAATGATGAACTCTGATCAACTCAGAATAGTTAATGAAAGACTCTGTCCGAGCTATTTCATAGAGGGCCAGCATCTCGAGTTTGAAAAATCAATAAAAATTGAGGCCAGCAGGCCAGCAAGTGGCACGTTGGTTAGGAGTTGGGTTGGGACGCCAGCTCTGAGCAGCAGGACCTCGGTTCAGATCCCACATGAGGGCCAGTGACGCTGCGCCCTCTACAGCTAAGATGGTGAACAGCAGGGCCAGCTGAGTGGCGCGTTGGTTAAGAGCTGGCTTGGGACGCCAGAGGGCCCCGGTTCGGATCCCACATATGAGGGCCAGTGACACTGCCC